GGAGACCAGGAAAAGCACCTGGCTCCTGCCTTCAGATCAGCACGGTGCGCCGGCCACGGCGGCCATTGGAGGGTGAACCAACGGCAAAGGAAGACCTTTCTCTCTGTCTCTCTCTCACTGTCCACTCTGCCTGTCAAAATAAATAAAAATAAATTTAAAAAATAAAAGAAAGAAAATTCCACATTCAAAAATCCTTCACCATTAGTTTCCCAGAAGAAGGAGGAAAGAAGAAATGGGGGACCCATACTTATGTCCATAAAACCCCAGTCTGAATGCAGACTGGGCTCTCAGTCCTTTACTGAGACATCCGCCTGGTCTATCAGGTCTAAGAATTTCTGTCTCTTCACCTTTTTCAAAAAATTCTTTGCTAATTGCTTTCTTGTCTGCTTTATCAACCACATACTTCATCATAGAAAGAACAAGCTCCCAGGGTTCAAATCTATGGTTCCACTGAAATGTAAAAGCTTCCTAATAAGTCATTTACTCTTTAGTCAACAACAATTATGAGCTTAAAACACACAAAAGTAAGACTTTGAAGATGTGGAACTAGGAAAACTCAATTCTTATGCCTTTAAAATTGTATCAGTGAATACTTCCATATAGAAAAATTTTTAAAATGTTTTCCTCCCAAAGGAAAACCTATTTTATAGGTTTAACCCTATCACTAATGTATCACCAATCTATTTAATAAATCAATAAAGGAATATGTATAAAAATGCATTTTGGAAAAGTGATAAATTAGTTTTTTATAAAAACACTATATTTATTGTTTAAAGTAATAATGTTCTAACTAAATAATTTTTAAACTTTATGTTATGATCAAGGAAAAAAAATAGAGAACAGTACTAATAAGCATAAAGCAGAAAAGTTAAAAGAGAAAGTGATTGGCCGGCACTGCGGCCCACTAGGCTAATCCTCTGCCTGCGGTGCTGGCACCTTGGGTTCTAGTCCTGGTTGGGGCGCCAGTTCTGTCCCAGTTGCTCCTCTTCCAGGCCAGCTCTCTGCTGTGGCCCAGGAAGGCAGTGGAGGATGGCCCAAGTCCTTGGGCCCTGCACCCGCATGGGAAACCAGGAGGAAGCACCTGGCTCCTGGCTTCGGATCAGCACAGCACACTGGCCGTAGCGGCCATTTGGGGGGTGAACCAACGGAAGGAATACCTTCCTCTCAGTTTCTCTCTCACTGTCTAACTCTGCCTCGCAAAAAAAAAAAAAAGAGAGAGAGAGAAAGTGATGGAACAAAGACATAAGCCTCAGCCATTCTCCCTCTTTGCCCAAAAGATAGATAAACATTGGAATTTATTTCTTGCCCTTGAATCTCAATTGGGTCTCACACCCTGTTGCCTTCATACCCCAACCCCCATGGCCACCTGGAAGACCAGTTGCTGGAACACTTGAAAGACCAGTTACAGGAATTCTCCTCTGCCTACTGTCCCTTACCCCCACCCCTATCCCTAGCCCTCCTAAAATATAAAAAGGCCCAGCCCCCAGGGCTTGGGGTCTTCTGCCATGTGTTCCACCAGTGTGCATGCAGGCAGTTGGTCACCACCTCTATGAATTTATTTTCTCTGAATAAATTCGATCTGGCTGTAAATTCATACACTGTCTCTTCTCTATTCTGCACCTCTTTTCCTCACATTTATGCTGCCCCATGTAAGGAGGCACCATTATGCAACTCTTTTCCTAACAGAAAGCTAATAGGGAAGAGAAAAGGAGAAAAGGAGACAAGAGAAAAAACAGAAAAGCGGAAGGTAGGAGCTTGAGATTAAAAAAAAAAAATGGGGTGTGTCGCTCCCCCTCTTCGTGGAGGAACGACACAGGACCCTGCGCTGTTCTTTCGTCTGCTCGGCCCTCCCCGGGTTTGCTGCTGGTTCTTCCCGGGTTGGCTACTATCCCTTCCACCTCCGTGGAAGGGCAGTTCCCCCTGGCCACATTCCCCACTTCCGCAGGGGAGTGGCACACCGTCGGCCGGCTCTTCTCGGGGGCTGCACAGGTGTTCCCTCAGCTAGATGTTCCCCATAGATGTTCCTGGTGCATGCCGTCTCTCTCCTCCTTTATAGTCCTCCTCCGCCAATCCCAACTCGGCTGCCCACACGCCGAGTACGCTGCTCTCCAATCAGGAGCAAGTCCTACAGTTAATTGGTTGAACTGGAGGCAGCTGTGCGGAAGCTGTTTACTTCTCTCCCAGCGCCATATTGTGGGAGAGCAGATGCATAGAATAAGTCTTAATTCCAGTAACTTAGTCTAGTCCGAGCTGCTCCCCACAGAGGAGAGCAGATGCATAGAATAAGTCTTAATTCCAGTAACTTAGTCTAGTCCGAGCTGCTCCCCACAGGGTGAATACATCAATAGTTTGAACCACTTAAAGGGGACACAACTTAGTTTGTAAGCTGAATAAATTTTAGCAATCTATTAGGTCTTCAGCAAAGAACTGAAATTCACAGATCTGAAACTGCTTTCAGCAATCCATAAAGCTTTGTAGAACAATTAGTCTACAATTTTCAGAACAATAGTGTTTAACAGAATGAATATCAAGCAAACAAAGGATGCTGGTAAGCTGCAACTTGTCTTACTTTAAACCATTCATCAAACTGTGATGTTAAAAAAGAAAACGTGATTAACCAAGTAAATTTTTTTTTAACCACAGAGCACCCATATGCTCATGGTGAGCAAAAACCCATTTCATTTTATTATCTGTCTAATCACAGGGTGCAAGAAGACCAGAATTAGAAGAATATCTTACATACTGCATCCTTAGTTCTAACTCTGGGTCACAATATACTGAGTACAATGTCTAGTAAGCAAGTATACAAGCACCCTGCCATATTTTTCTCCACCGATGATTCATATTCCTGAACCAGCAATCCATGTAATTTACGTTAATGAACAGACACTAGAGTATTTACTACACAGAGATGTCCTAACTTCCTAAAAAATCCCACCTCAAAATACCCAAACTACAAACTGACCCATGGAGCAAGTAATGATATCAGTCCCTGACTCACAACACACTGAGTATCTCGAGATAGGGACTGTACATATACTAGATCATTTGAAAATGCTAGAGTTTTAATTTTATCCCACTACCACCTTTCAACCTAGACAACATTTTCCTGGCCACCACTACTTAAGTATAACCCAGTCGCCACCTTTTTGAGAAGAAACAGAATTCATTTTCCTCAGTAACTGCTATCACTAAGATTTATGGAATGTGACTGAAAATGAAGAAGCCAAGCCCCTAAGGAAGGTATGTGAAGAAGACAAAGAGGTAGCAGGGTTAGGAATATTCTGCAGCAACCAAATAAATCCAGCATCCCAAAAAAATTTTTTTGAGATGCAGAGAGACACAGAAAGAAAAATAGACAGGGGCTAGTGCTGTGGTGCAGTGGGTTAAAGCCCCAGCCTGCAGAATCAGCATCCCATATGAGTGCCAATTTGAGTCCCAGCTGCTAAACCCCAGATCCAGCTCCCTGCTATGGCCTGGGAAATCAGCAGAGGATGGCCCAAGTCCTTGGGCCCCTGCACCCACGTGGGAGACCAGGAAGAGTCTCCTGGCTCCTGGCTCCTGGCTTTGGATCAGCTCTGCTCCAGCCATTGCAGCCATCTGGGGAGTGAACCAGCAGATGGAAGACCTCTTTTTCTCTCTGTTTCTACCTCTCTCTATAACTCTGCTTTCCAAATAAATATTTAAAAATTAATTTAAAAAAAGGAAAGAAAAATAGACAGAATTCCTGTCTGTTGATTCACTCTCTAACTACCTGTACAGCTTGGGGAGGGCCAAGACAAAGCAAGGAAACAGGAACTCAATCCACATCTCTCATGTGTGTGGCAGGAACCCAATCACTTGAGCCATCACCTGCTACTTCCCAGATTCTACATTGGTGAGAAGCTAGAATCAGGATCCAGAGCTAGGAATTGAACACAGACTCTCTAACATGAAATGAGTGTATAACTGGCATCTTAACCTCTAGACAAAACATCCACCCCTCAATTGACAAATTTTCATCAAGGCAAACACTATAGTAGACTATGAGTATATAAAATGAATGAAATTAACCTCAGTGTATTCATAGTCACTTAGGAGGGATAATTCACTAAGATTTTTGCGAGTGTTATGATAAAGATATTTAACTAAGAATGAAAGAAATATAGTTGGTGAGGGGAAGAATTTTGACTTAAGGCAGAAGGAAGAGTAGGAAAAGACTGAATCATGGAAAAGTTTCACAGATTGCAAGATATCCAAACTGGGCATTACATAATGTATGAGAATCTGTTAATGGAAAAGAAGAGAAAGAACACGTTAGTCAACATGGGTCAAAAAAATTAATAGCTTGAACAAATGCATGCACATTTTTTAAAAAAATATGTATTTAAAAACCCAAAAGCATTCTATTGTGGCTGAAGCAAGACAGAGAGAGCAACGGCAAAGATGCTAGAAAAGTTAACACAAAACCAAAGATGAGGGGTTTAGATTACCTGACAAGAAGATGCACTTTATTTACTCTGAAAGCAACAGGCAGACACTAATGCTTTTTGCATAACGGGAGGTTGACAAGAACAGGTCAATATTTGAGAAAGAGAAATTTGGTGATGGTATGAAAGCTAGATTACTGAGGAATTTAGCTAGAGTAAGCAGGTACAAAAAATTATAAAAGGAAGTCTTTGAAATCCTCAGATCTATTGATTCTAAAACCTGAGTCTTGCTTTTACATGAGTAATACTGCTGTATACACTTTAAAAAAAAATCCTGTATAATTTTAAAACATTTTATAATTCAGTTTTACTAATTCAGCTAGTGTCCCCAATTATTCCAAATCAGAGAGGTCTTATTAGGTAAGTCTTTGATGTAATCAGCATTTCTAGATTTGAAATTTGTATCAATGTCACTAAAATTAGTTTCATACTCTATCAACTCATAGTATGTAGTGTGGAGAAAAAACCCTACTACTCATCAAACATGACCCAATAAAGTAAGTGCCATAGGGTTTTCTTTTTTATCCTTACCATTACAAGTTCTTCCTGTAATTCACTGCAACTTTTTTCATTATACTGAAGTCTCTTTGAAAGGTCTATAATTACTTTCTTCTGTTCCTCGATCTCTTCATTTAGTTTCTTGTTTTTGGAGAAATACTCTCTTTCTAACCTGAAAAGTTAAAGTGTCAGAGCAGATTTTTCAAATATGCTTTTATCAATTATTACTGTACACCTTTAACATAAGTTGCAGATGTACTATATATTATGTTAGCAGGTCAAAAAACTTTTTAAAGACCATCTTCCCTCTTTTCAAATAAAAAGGATTACATTTTTTAGTATTTGCTTTTTTTATTTTTACCAGAACTCCACCTGGGTCTCCCACATAAGTGGCAGGAACCCCAGAACAATAGCTATCACCTAATGCTTCTGAAGTGCACACTAGCAGGAAAACTGCAACTGGAAGCAGAGCCAGGACCTAGAACCTAGGCACTCTAATATAGGACAAAAGCATTCCACGTGGTGTCTTAATCACTACACCAAACACCCACCCCCAGGATTACACATTTCAAATGAAAAAGTTTAAGCAAATAATGCTTCTCCATTGATATCAGGTATTTATTTATACTATGCCCAACATGGTAAGCAAAATATTTTACTAAAAATCAATTGATTTGAAAGGCAGAATGATAGAGAGAGAGAGAATGACAGAGAGAGAGAGAGAGAGAAAGAGAGAGCGTGAGCACAAGAGCTCTTCAATCCACTGGTTCATTTCCAAATGCCAATTACAGCTGTGGTTGGATCAGGCTGAAGCCAGAAGCCATGAAATTATTCTGAGTCTCCCACATAGGTGGCAGGTACCTAAACACTTGAGCCATCATCCCCTGCCTTCCTAGGCAAGTTAGCACGAAGCCAGATAAGAAGCACCGGAGCCAAGACTTGAACCTGTACTTTGATTTGGGATGGGAGTACCCCAAGCCGCAGCTTAACCCACTATACCACAAGGCCTGTCACTCACACCATTATTTTATTTTATATTTTAAGATTTATTTATTTTATATCAGGGGCAGAGTTATAGACAGAGAGAGGGAGAGACAGATAAAAAGGTCTTCAATCCACTGGTTTGCTCCCCAGCTGGCCACAACGACTGGAGCTGGGCCGATCTGAAACAAGGAGCCAGGAGCTTCTTTGGGGTCTCCAACATGGGTGCAGGGGCCTAAGCACTCAGGCAATCTTCACTACTTTCCTAAGCCATCAGCAAGGAGCTAGATTGGAAGTGGAGCAGCCAGGACTCAAACTGGTGCCCATAAAAATGGATCAAAATAGAGAAATAATATGAAAATTAGGAAATCAATCCAGAATTCTCCAACATATAAATACTGAAGTTCCAGAAAGAGAAAATAAAAGAATACAAAGAAATTAACAAAGCATGAGAAAATGTTCAGGATCACTAGCCGTCAGGGAAATGCAAATCAAACCCACAACGAGGTTCACCCTCACCCCGTTAGAATGGTATTCATATAGAAATCAACAAACAACTAATGCTGGCAAGGATGTGGAGGAAAAGGTACACTAATCCACTGTTGGTGGGAATGTAAACTGGTAAAGCCACTATGGAAGTCAGTTTGGAGATATCTCAGAAATCTGAGTATAGACCTACCACATGACCCAATCATCCACTCCTGAGAATTTACCCAAGGGAAATGAAATCAGCAAATATTCAATAAATAAAAGGTTTCTTTGAGGAAAAAAAAACTGTGCATCAAATTTATAACTCTGAAATATATATACAAGCTTTTTAGTGGGATCCTGCTTAAATCTTCCAAGCTAAAAACAGAAGCTTAAGAATCTTAACCACTGGCCGGCGCCGCAGCTCAATAGGCTAATCCTCTGCCTTGCGGCGCCGGCACACCAGGTTCTAGTCCCGGTCGGGGCACCAGATTCTGTCCCGATTGCCCCTCTTCCAGGCCAGCTCTCTGCTGCGGCCAGGGAGTGCAGTGGAGGACGGCCCAAGTGCTTGGGCCCTGCACCCGCATGGGAGACCAGGAGAAGCACCTGGCTCCTGGCTTCGGATCAGCGCGATGCGCCGGTTGCAGCGTGGCGGCCATTGGAGGGTGAACCAATGGCAAAAGGAAGACTTTTCTCTCTGTCTCTCTCACTACCCACTCTGCCTGTCAACTATTTCAAAATAAGTCACTTATTTAAGCAATCTTAAACACTGCAAGGTTCAGGCAGCACTACCAATTGCTATATCAGGTCTTCCCAGTAGGTAAAACAACATCCCATCCCAAAACTCTCCAAGTTGCAGATTAAGGCTATGACTACATTAAAGAGTTCAAAGAACTTGCAATACATTAAACAAACTTAGAACTAGTTTGAGAAATAAATGCTTGACAGTATGACCCTCAATATTTTAAAAATATTTTTTAAAGAAAAACCCAAAGAATAGTCAGGAGCACAGGTAGAAAATGAAATAACCTATCCAACTATCCCTCAAGTCATGTCATTCTTTCTGACACCACAGATAACTGAAATGGAACTGCTGGCTGCCATATTACATACAAGGACAAAGAAGGCAGGATTGGAGAAAGGAAGTCACAGAAATTATCAATGACTGTAACCATCACTTAATATTCATTATGTCTCATTGCTGAACTTTCATTAATAGAGCACAGTTATATAAAATGGAAGATATGGAACATTAGGTTAAAGCATTAAGATTGTTAGCTAGTGCTTAGTTGCAACATTTAACTAATATTTAGGATGGTCAGTTGGTGCTTATTAGAATAAAATATTTGAGTAAAACTTTTATGCACCAAAAGACAAACAAAAACAAAAGTTAAGGAAAAAATTTTCTCTGATGAAAAGTACAAGCATGTAGGGTAGCATCTTGGAGCTTAATTGCTAACAAGTATCTTAAAATTCCTCTGGTCTGGTGCCAGCACTGTGGTGTAGCAGGTAAAGCCACTGCTTGCAAAGCTGGAATCCCATATGGGCACCAGTTCAAATCCTGGCTGCCCAACTTCTAACCCAGCTTCCTGCAAATGTGCCTGAGAAAGTAGCAGAAGATGGATAAGTACTTGGGCTCCTGCATCCCTGTAGGAGACTCAGATGAAGCTCCTGGCTCCTGGCTTCAACTTGGCCAGTCCCAGCCATTGTACCATTTGGGGAGTGAATCAGCAGATGAAAGACCTCTCTCTATCTCCCTCTCTCTCCATCTCTGTAACTAACTCTACCTTTCAAATAAACAAAATAAATCTTTGGGAAAAAAAGAGAAAAGAAAGAAACAATTATCCACCTCTGCTTTAAATTTCCAAAGGCAGGCAATTCACTTGTTCCCAAAGAGGCCCATTATTTTATTTTATAGTTAGAAAGCTTTACTTGTTGAAAGCTCATTCTGATTTCTAACAGGTTCACCTATAGGTCCTAATGATTACCTCAAAGCAAGGGTAAAGCAGACTGCACTATATTCTACATGAAAGTCTTACAAATGTAGTTATATGCAGAATAATATTTGAGTACATATTGGAATGCAAGTAAATACATTAAATGTATAGATTCAAACAATCATTCAAAGGAAATGAAGGAGAATTAAATTCTAATAAAATTCACAAAATATCACTTGGGTCATATTAGAGGAAGAAAATTTTCAGTCAAGAAATTCTACTTAAAAACATTATAAGCATTATAATAAAAGCAGTCACAATTTAAATTTTTCCAAATCATTCAGTAAGTGCTATCTTTAAGATTTTTGCCATACCCGTAATACTGCAGAACTTCACAAAGTTTGTGGAAAATGGAATTAAAACATGTTTAGGGGTGGGCATTTTGGTCTAGTGGTTAAGACACCCATGTCCCATATCAGAGTACATGGATTTAATACCAGCCTCGAATAGAGGCAGAGCCAAGATGGCGGAATAGTGAGGGCGCACACCGATACTCCAGGAAAAGTTAGTTTAATAAAAGTGGAGTTACTGTAGCCTCAGGAAAAGGCTCAGGAAAAAATTGCAGAGGAAATTCTTCTGGATCTAGTGGATGTGACATGGAGGACCTATGGGGAGAGCATGGTAGCCCACCGCATGGCATGGAAAGCCCCAGCCCACAGAGTCTGCGCGCCCAGCCGCTGGAAAGGGGAAGGTGGAGACAAAAACCTCAGTGACCCAAGACATTGGAAGGGGAAAAGGCAGAAAAGAGCCCTAGAGGGAACGGAGGCCTGAAGCCCCACGGGGGAAAGTTCACCAGGCTGACTGGAGGAGAGAAAAAAATCAATAAATAAGGGGAACCGGCACAGACACTAGCCTCTCTCTCTACTCACCTTACAAAGCCAAGCAAGACAAAGAGCAGGCGCCATTTTACATATGTAAAGCGGGGCCCGCCATTAGCCAAGCAGAAAAACCTGATTCTGGTGGGGAGAAATAACAGGAGGTTAGGACCTAGTGAAAATGTGGAGCCAACGAACTGAGACTGTGAAAATCTGAGGAGGGGGCGAGAGAACTCACCAAGTACACAAACTTGGTAACCTTGGCAACCCAGTGAGAGACTGCAGAGAAATTTGAGACCACACTGAGGGCTGCATAAACTCTTTGTGTGGTCCCAGACCAACACCCACAGGGGCCAGATTTCGTACATGAACTACCCTCAATTCCACTCAGCTGTGCGGAATTACTTCCCAACTGAGTCAAAAAAAAAAGAGAGAGAGAGAACAATCTGGGTGAGTCACCTTAGGCACACCCTTAACCCTGAAGAACCAAACAGAGCTCTCTGGCCACACCCATCACAGCCTCTAAGGATCCATCAAAAGCAGACAGTCCACTTAATCTACAGTCATAGTATAATGAGAAAAAGCACCACAGCGAAGAAACCAAAGAATATCTCCACAATGTCAAACAAATGCAGAAACTGAGGTAACAAGAACAAGGAAGACACTATGATGCCCCCAAATGAAAAAGACTCCCCAATTCAAGATTATGAAGATGATGAGATAGAAGAAATGCAAGAAGTGGATCTAAAAAAATTGATAAGAACATTAAGAAGTTCTCAAAAACAAATTCTTGAACTACAGAAATCCTTAATGGACAAGATAGAAAATCTCTCTCTCTCGTGAAAATGAAATATTATGGAGGAATCAAAAGAAAATGAAACAACTAGTAGAAGATGAAACTGTGATGAGAA